TATATTAACTTTTTATTATATTATATAAATAAATAGGCTAACCCATCAGACCTAATAGATTTTTCTATAAGTCTAAGCCTAAATTTTTTATATATAAATAGGTTTTTTTTAAGTTTAAACTTAACTTTTTTATTAAATAAGTCAGACCAGACCTTAAAGAGACAGGTCATAGGCCATTGTTTAAAGCTTGACCTGTTCTCATCCTTACTTTTACCTTTTTCGTATGAGTGACCCATGTGGTTGTGTAGGTGATTTAAAGCTCTAGAGTTAAGAATAAGAGATATCAAAGAATTGACAAGGAATTATTGAAAAGTCTCTACATTATTCTTCCTTCTCCCCTTTTCTTTTGGATTTTGAGGTAAAGAAACTATAACTTAACTCATAGATGACTTGCGAGGGTATATGTTATTTAATTATCAATGGTTGTGTTGTTGTTTGAAATGGAAATTTAAATGTTGAGGTATGTTGTATTTTTGATAGAGTTGAGGTGAATTTCAATGTTTTTAACATATGACAAGTGCATGTTATAATTTTGGTTGGATTCGAGTTGTTTAAAGTGTCTATATATATTGTGATATATTGCACGTTCAAATTTTTTCTACGTTATAGGTGGATTGAAAAAATCGTGATTTTATTAAGTACATAAATCATCATCACATCGGACATGTCTTCATAGCATAAAGTGTGGTTAAAATCAAGGACTATCTACTTTAATCACATCAAACATGGGGTTGATAATGTCAAGCATGAAGAGAAAGAAATGACTCTGATTTGGTCACAATGGACATGATTTAAATGGCATAAGGTGTGATGAGAGGGAAAATGACTTTAACTTGGTGATGCCAAACTAAGTGAAGGAGTCGCCAGATGTGATTTAGATAGATGTTCTTTGGCTATATGATGTTGAGCGCCAATTCAATGATGTTAAATGTGAGTCAAGTAAAGATTTTTTTTGCTTAAGATGAGGTCGGATGTGGAGTTTGGCCTTGTAAAGTGTGAAAACAACAAAGGCTCTCTATCTCATCCATGTTGGGTACATGTTGAGTGGCACCATGTGTGGGCGAACACATAGCTATTTGTTTCCATGACAAAAGCGTGAGAAGATTGGTGTCAGATGTGGGTTACCTTATGAAAATGTGTTATTTCTTGAGAAAATGGTGAGCATATATAGATTAGTTGAATCTAATACATATTGCATATTGATAATTGAATGTTGTTGAGTGGTGTTGGTTCTATATACATTAATATGGAATAATGTATATAGATAGTTAATTGTTAAATTGTTGAGGTAGTGGTGTTGAACATGGTTAAGGTATTTATGTATGTTATGTTAATTGACTTAGGACTGAATAAAAAAGTGTCTTAGAAAATTGGATATCTTACTGCGAGGATATTATTGTGGTGTTTTATGATCTCATTTGTTGAAAATCCTTCTTAAGTAATTTATTATTTAAGATGATAGTTGAGTTTCTTTTAGAATCTTAGTAGATACAAAATGTAAACAAGGTTGAGGTATATTGGTTATAAGTGACCGTAGTATGGGGTCAAGTCAAGTTATACTGATTACCAATAATCAATGTTGATTTATATGTAAACAAGGTAATACGTGTGAGACCCTACTTCCCCTATCCATTTTTTTCTCTCCCCGAGCCTCGCCACACTCGTGAAAAATGCTGGAAGCTGCATGGAAAGCCACCTAGTAAGGATTGGGGGCCCCAAAACCGAGACAAGGAGTGGGGAAAAAAAGGAGACAACACCAGAAAGGGAGGACAAGCACACATCGGTGCTGCCACCAGTGAAGAAAACAGAGGAGTGATTCAACTTAACCAAGATGAAATAGAGCAGATGAGATCATTCCTCAACAAGTTGGATAAGTCAACAGGTACTTGTTCTCTGGCACATTCAGGTATGTTTCCTTTTTCTTTTGGACTTAATGCCTCAGATAAAAACTATAACCCATATTGGATACTAGATTCTGGGGCTACCGACCACATGACACCCCTACCTAAACATTTCTCTTCCTACACCCCTTGCCCTAGCAACAAGAAAATATCCACAGCAGATGGCTCTCTGATGACTGCAGCAGGTCAAGGAGAAGTTCAAATAAGCCCATCTATAACCCTTAAAAATGTCCTTCATATTCCTAAACTGTCTGTCAGTTTGATTTCCATAAAAAAGCTCATAAAAGACCTATCATGTAATGCCATATTTTATGACAATGTTTGTATATTGCAGAACAAGTACTCGGGGAGGACGATTGGACATGCTAGAGAATGGAATGGCCTTTATTACTTGGATAATCCGGATTTGCCACCAGACCTGGAAAACAACAACTCTTTTTTCTCTGATTCAATGAAGGCCAACAGGGAGAAGATCTTCCTACATCACTGTCGTCTTGGACATCCTTCCTTTAGAGTCATAAAATTGTTATTCCCTTCCCTTTTTAGCAAATTAGATGTTGAAAGTCTCCATTGTGAAGTGTGTGAGCTTGCTAAGCACAAGCGTGTACCTTTTCCAGTTAGTAATAATATGAGCACTTTTCCCTTCTATTTAATTCATACTGATGTGTGGGGTCCCTCAATTGTCCCAAATGTTTCTGGTGCCCGTTGGTTCCTCACCTTTATAGATGATTGTACTCGTGTCACATGGGTCTTTTTACTAAAACAAAAATCCGAAGTCAGCTATGTAGTTCAGCGTTTTTTCTCCATGGTAAAAAATCAGTTTGGAGTTAGCATTAAGAGGATTAGATCCGATAATGCCAAAGATTACTTTAATCATGGACTTATTTCCTTTTGTCAAAAGGAAGGTATCATTCATGAGTCATCCTGTGTCAAAACACCTCAGCAAAATGGGATTGCTGAGAGAAAAAATGGTCACCTACTTGACCAAACTCGGGCTCTTCTTTTTCAACATGAGGTTCCTAAAAGGTTTTGGGGGGAGGCTGTTCTTACTGCATGTTATCTAATTAATAGACTACCTTCTAGTATTCTAGCCTCAAAAAGCCCTATGGAGGTTTTGTCCTCCTTTTATCCTAATGTTTCCACATCCAATCAACTTATTCCAAGAATATTTGGGTGTGTGTCTTTTGTCCATGTCCACAATGATAATAGAGGTAAACTTGATCCTAGAGCCTTAAAATGTGTTTTCATAGGATACTCATCCACACAAAAGGGATATAAATGCTATCACCCACCATCACGAAAATTCTTCGTGTCCAGAGATGTCACTAGTAAGGATTGGGGGCCCCAAAACCGAGACAAGGAGTGGGGAAAAAAAGGAGACAACACCAGAAAGGGAGGACAAGCACACATAGGTGTTGCCACCATTGAAGAAAACAGAGGAGTGATTCAACTTAATTAGCCGGGTCGTTACAATACGTGCATGCATAAAGTGACTAATTGAGTAAGATACAAGGTCAGGGACCCAAATCTCTAATTGAGTATTGAAATGGTGTAGCATTTGGAGGGTAGTTGGTAGACTGATCTCATAGGAGACTTAGTTATGTAAGTTGACGTTGTAGTAGACTCACACCCAAGATGTTTTTATCCTGACAATAATACTAGACTTTCTAATTTATGTAGCAAAATATGAGAAATCATGTTGTTATGGATTAGTATCCAAATTGGTTGTTGATCTAACATGTGTAAAATGATTGTTTTGGTTTGGTATGGCCAAATTACTTAGACTGCTCACCTTTGTTGTAAAAGATTTTCATAAGCAAATGTGTGACGACACATATAGTTGAGGTTTTATGCATATGATGTGTTGAGTGTAGTATGGTTCATATGTTATGTGGATTATTGTTGAATGACATTGTCGTGGTGAAAGTTGTAATAAGTTGTGATGTGGTTAATTTGTTTAACCTTTTAAAGTTGTTGAATATCGTGTTAAGGTGTTATGATTGTGTTGTTATGTTGTAAGCCATGATATTGTGGTGGTTGTATGGTTTACATTTTGGTGTTGATAATATACTTTTATACTTCTTATATATTTATTATTTGAATGATAATTTACCCTTGCATATTTTTTTGTAGTTAAATTGTGATGATCATATTTATATGGGAACAAGACAATGTTAGGTAGACAAATGTCTAATTGAGAATCAAGTTGCGTGACATTGTAACTTGGTGCTACTATTATAGGTATTTTGTAGAGTTACTTGACCAATAACTTATGTTACATTTTCAGTATTTGAAATATTATATATAAATATAAATATATAAGATAGGTCGTAGTTTTACTTAAGAACAATTACTATTTTGCTGATTTTATATTTGTGTGTATATTTATATTATTACGTGTATATTTTAGAGAATGTTTGTATGATAACTTTAAGTAGTAGTGTTTTTTTTTATTTTTTATTTTTATAACAAATAGTTGAATCGTTGGATTTAAGGATGAAAATAAGTTGTTACAGTGACCTTTATTAAATAATATTTACATTTTTTAATAAGAAATAAATAAAATAATACCATGACATTGTGAAATATTATTAAAAATATTAATAAGAAAATACATATTAGAAACACTTTTTAGACGCACTCTCTCATGTGTATTTGAAAAATTTGAAATTTTTTTTTTCAATAGTCAATTATAATCAATTATTATTATATTCAATTATAAGTAGAAGAAATTTTTGTTTAGGTAAATTTAATGAAAAATGACTTTGAGATATTTAATTTCGGTTGATACATAATCAATCTTTAGATTGTAAATCAATTTAAAAGAAAAAAAATGCTAAAAAATAATTATAAATTATAAATTTTAAGCTTTATAAAAACAACTTTTTTCTTAAAAAAAATTATTAAAAAATTTATCTTATTGTTTCAAACACTGCGAGATTATAACTTTTCCCAACCATACTCTTATTTTTAGTTGAAATTGATTGGAAGACAAGTTCATATTTTTTTTCTTCTTCTTCAAGTCTTGCTTTTATCTACCACTTATTTTATTTTATTTTATTTTTTTCAATAATTTTTAACCATTATCAAAGTGTGTTAAAAAAAATTGCAACACTCTTCTATCGAAAACACATATATAATAATACTAAATATAGTAAAATATTAAACTATGAATATAAAATTAATTTCTTCTTCCATTTTAATGTAATAATAATTACTGTTGACATGTGAATCAATAAATAATTTATTGTGAAATCAATAGAGTTAAACATATAATATTTTTTGGTAAATTATTATATATAAGCTATTTTATAAATGTACATAAATAACGTTTTATATTTTATGTTTTTAAAAAATCAACTTTTAATTTCTACACATTAATACGATAAAAGAAAGTATATCGAGTTAAAAAAAAATTATAACATAAACTTTAACATACTTTTATCATGCAAAAAAAAAAACACTATTTTACACGAGGAATCAAATTACACAAATATGTATATTACTATTAATTTTTATGTTGTTGAATAACATTTTAAAACATTAGTACAATAACACAAGTTTGATTTCAGTGTGATGGCCAATTCTGAGAATGGGCTATGTCAAAATGCCAGGAAACAGAAACACTCTTTGCTGCACATTAGTGAGAAATAAATTGAAGAGAAACATGTGAGTGAAAAATAGTGTAATATTTAAAGTTGGTTTAAGAGAAAAAGTAAGATAAATAGAAGTGCAATAATGTTATTTATGGCTGGAAGAATGAAAAAATAGATGAAAATAGAATATATAAAAATAGAAAGGAGAAAAATAAATAACATACAAGTAAAAAAATAAAAGTTTTGCTCGAATAAAAATAAGAAAAATTTACAAAAAAAAAGAAATAAAAATATTTTTAAAAATAAGTTATAGTCAATTATTTGTTATATAAATAAATTAATTTAAAAGATTTAATCAATTATAAATAGTTATAATCAAACAAAACTCTCAGTATAAAAATAGTGGCTTTAGGTGTGAGTTAAGCTCCATTTAGAATATCTTTGAACAACAATTCGTTACTATTTTAGGATTCATTATTTTTATATTTATTTAATAAAATATATAGAATTAATTTTTAAAAAATACTCAAATATTTTTTTTATTTCTATTTTTATAATTTTTTAATCATGATTTAATAGAATATATAATTAATTTTTATTTTTAAAAATCCATAATTTTTAATTTTTAACCATAGTTATATATAATTAATTTATTATATTTTATAATTATTTTTTATTAATTAAAATTAGATGAATAATGACTATTTATTATTATTATTATTTTAATATTATTATGATAACTTCCAAAAATATTATTGTGATATATAATATGATTTTTAAAAAAATTATTTAGTTATTTTTTATATTTTTATTTTATTTTTAGTCAAGATTTAATTTATAATTTTAAAATTTTTAAAATAAGACAATATCTTACAAGTGTTTAAAAAATAATATATTTAAATACTTTTAAATTATATAAGTGTATGCTAACATGCAACAACTCAATTATTAAATCTTAAATATAAATTCTCAATCAAATTATTTATCCAAATTCACCGTAATTAATTAAATAACAACTTATTTGATTAAGTTTCACATAGTAAGTAATTTATCCACCATTTTTTTTTTGATCGACAACAAATTTTAAAGTGATGAACTCTATTATTTTTCTATTTTCTTTTTTCATTACTTCTTTTCAACTAAACATACACATTTATTATATATATATATTTTATTTTTTTTCCCCACATATTTCCACAATATCAAATAGAGCATTAATCAAAGAAAAATAATAATAAATTTAATTAATGGATTTTGAATATCATAAATATAGCTCCTCGAAGATGAGATTAAGCATTCTTTTGTTAAATTCCACTTAAAGTAGTTAGGTGGAATAATAAATAACTATTAACTTTTTCATTTATTAAGTGACAATTTAATTATAACATTTAATTTTTTTTGGCATAAATTATGTTAAAAATGGATGGAACTCGCTTTAGTAATGTTTAATTTTTATTATTGGACAATTTGTCACTCTTTCTTCCACAAAGGTGATGTATATCACCTACCAAAGAACTCAAAGCAAAATCATATCAAGTAGAATGTAATTACATAAATCATTTCATGTTAGAAAACTATAATTTTGCATCGAAATTTATAATCTTTCAATTTACCTAAATACGAAAACAGAATTAATCGTCATTTTAAGAAATACAGAATTGGGAGTGACAATTATATCCACAAAAGTGTAAAATATAGTTGATACTCTTTCATGAACCAAAAAACACAATATTGACACCCTCTTATATTTACTGTGTTCATATCGTTGTATATTGAAAACACAACCATCTCATGTATGTTTACTGTGTTTATATCGTCATATATTGAAAACACATAAATTCATTTTTAATGTGTTACTTTATAAATTTACCGACTTCAGCTTTAACCATGTCACTAGCTTGTCTAACCACTTATTTATACCTAAATTGAGCATTCAACCTATGCATTCTTAAACATTGCATGGTTAACAATTTTGTTTCTTCATCTATGTTGTGTTATTTATTTTGATGTGAGCAACTCTGCATATGTAACGTACCATTTAGTCTGAATAGGTTCAATTTTTATTTATTATTATTATTATAATTATTATGAGTGTGTTGGAGAAGACATTTGAAGAATTTATAAATTTATTTGATTAAATTTTTATAAACTATTTGATTAAAATATTTTTTTATAAAAAAAATTATTTTAAAACTTATAGTTTATTATCATAAATTAATTGAAATAGTTTATAATTTATTAATTTTTGTATCCCTATAAATTTATTTGATTTTTTTAACCTTTTTATTAATTAATTTTATTTTGCCTATTTCACCATTCTCTCACTCTTGTTATATATATCATTTTATATTTGTTAACTAACTTATAATTATTCTTACTAAAATCTTGATCCAACTGATTAACTTATAAACCCTTAATTTTTAAATTTATAACTTATAAATTTTTAGCTAAAATACAAACTTTCTACTAAATTATAAGTTAATTTATTAAAACCACTTTCCATAAATAATCGCAGTGCTTGAATTACAAAACGTCAATAATATATTTTTTAGTATATGAATAATGATTTTCACAAGAATGAGTACACACACTTTTTTAGATGATTGAAAGCTATTTGTAAATTTAACAAATTTCCTTTCCTCACCCATCATACCATTTGCAAAAATTGCAACGAAGCAGTCCAATACAACAATACAACAATAATAGATCAAATGATCTACAATAATGGTTGATGGGTACAATACATGTCGGGTGGGATGTACTCAGAGGAAACCGCAATACATTAAAAACAACATTTTCAAAATATAATTAACTCTCAAAAATTGTATTTAGCAACAATATAATAAAAATGAAAATTTATTATTACTTTATTTGTTGTGTAATCCTTTAAAGAAAATAAGAAGAACGTGATATTTCTGAATCATTATTAATAAAAATGTAAAAAAAATCCCAAAACAAAGAAATCTAAGCTATCCATACCCAACATTTTTACGTGTTTTAAAAAGGCCCATTTGTTTAACAAAAAAACAATGACCTATTCGAGATTGTTTCACAAAAATAATTCAATAAAACCAATGAAAAAAAAAAAAATACAGGTGCACCAAATACTTGTTACCTTGTCCTTTTAGCCTTAAGCTTACTCATTTAAGTCAAAAGTCCACCTCATTTCATTATGGACGTTAATCAAATAAACATAAAATGCGATGCCAAAAATACAGCATAGATTTGATCGATAATTTTGGTGCCTAAACTAAGTAAAGTCGGCAAAACCTTTTAGAACCCCACACTCCAGTCATCAACAGCCGATAATTGTTTCCACTCGAAATAAATTGTAAAAAATAAATAGAGATAAATTACTATTAATCTTTTAAGTAAAAAATAAAAGTAGACTCTGAATAAAAAAGCGTAAAATAATTTTTTTTATTTTTATATTTTTCATCCGAAAATACATGGTATCGGTTGTGGGAGAGATGACATCGCAACCATAATAATAATAGTAATGATAAATAAAAAGGAAAAAGAGAAAAAGAAAAAGGAAGTAAGGAAGAAGCGAAGGGTATTGGAAAATTTACACAGGAGAAGAGAGAGAGAGAGAGAAAGTAATTTGCAATCTAGTAAAGATTAGCAGGGAATGAAGAATGGAGTGTAGTAGTCATCCATCGACTTTGTTAGTAGTCTGAGTCACAGTGTAAAATATTTGATAGTTTGTATTTATCTGTTTTTGTGTTGCCCCAATGCATTTGCATTTGGTGATTGCAATCGCAAAGCATTTCCGATCCAGAGGGAGAGAGGCTTTGTGAATTGTGACAGCTGTATCCACCAACGAAAAGAAAAGCAAACCGCATACACGGATATAGATTGCTGATTCCCCGTTTGTTTGTCGCTGCAAGATCTGACGCTGCACCCAGGGCTAGGGTTTTGGCTTCCCTCTCATGGCGACCACTTCTTCCACTTCCAGCTGGCGCGAGGGGATGTCCTCCGACAATATAAAAGGACTCATCCTCGCTCTCTCCTCCAGCTTCTTCATCGGTGCCAGCTTCATTGTCAAGAAGAAGGGTTTGAAGAAAGCCGGTGCTAGTGGAGTCAGAGCCGGTATCCTTCTTCTCTTAAGGCCTCGCCGTCTATTCGTTTTCATTCCATTCCATTTCATTTTAATTTTCTAATCTTATTGCTGGTTACTGTCTTTGGACTAGTACTTTTTTTTTCTTCTCCTTCTCCATTGATTCATCTCTGCCTTTTCAGCTTTTGTTTACTTGTATTCAGTTCGTTTTCCGTGTTTCGTTTAGTGGATGAAATGGATTAGGTTAAAATTTCTAGGGATCTGGAGGTTTTCCTTTACTCCTCTTGGCTAGCTGAGTTCAACTGTCTGAAATCTCAAGGTTAAACACGATGCGATGCGTTGCCAGGCTTTTTATATGTTATCGTTGCATTTTACAGCGCAAATAGATGTAGACTAGGCAGATTAGGTTTTATCTTTAATTTTTTCATCTGCGCTTGAGGACAGAGCCAAGAGTTTTGTGTTCTCGATTCTCATCCATTTTCACGGAACCTTTTGGTGATTTCAACAATTTTTCTTGTACTCCTTGTTATGGAGTGATGAGCGATCTAGATTATTTTAGCTTTGTCTTTATCTTCGGATAGAAAAGGGAGTTTGATGTGACATGAGATCCTGCTGTAAATGTTGAAAATATGGTGGAGAAACTGTGTACTATAGGGACATCTTTTATTCTTCTCTAATAGATATGTTATATTATGTTAATGAAATAGATGCTTGTCCACTCTATTGACTCAGCCTCAGCTTGGTTTGTTTAGTTATATGTTTTTTTTTTCTTTGATTTATTTGATCTACAAAATAGTTATTGCCTTGTGTTTCTGTGTCTCTAGCATTTGCTCTTTCTGTTGGGATGGACATTGTATATCCGTATAAGTCCGTGCACTTATATTTTCATGCTGCTAATAGTTTATATTTTTTAATTCATTGTTTCCCTGATGGATCACCTACAATAGTAACTCACTATCCAAATTTATCTCTGACAGGAAGTGGAGGCTATTCGTACTTGTATGAACCGCTTTGGTGGGTAGGAATGGTAACAAGTGAGTTATACACGATTCTATTTGGTTTTGGAATGACCAAGGAATTGAATGTATGGTTTTTCCTTTCCCAAGTGTATCCCTGGAGCTTATGCCCTTTTATATATATATATATATATTTATTTATTTATTTAGTTTGTAGTTATTTTACAAGTGCTGAAAGTAAATTAGTTACTATACTTTGTATAGAGTATAGACTATAAATTGAGTTCTATGCAGAACCTTAACAAATCCAAAGAGAGGCTTTCATCTGTATGTTTTCCCTTCATCCTCGTATGATCTATCTTTCTGCAACTTATTTTCCAAATTTATGCTCAAAATATAAAATAAAAATGTAGCTAAAGCTTGTACCTTCTATCTAATTAGTCTAAGTTTTTCTCTAATTCCTATTTTTGCTTCACACATTTTCCAAGGAAATATTTCAGCATGGATACAAAGGCCATTTAAAGATGCCAATTGCCAACATATTTCCGCATACAATTTGTTGATATGAGTTGTTTATTGTATCATGGATTAAAATTTCTATTCTAACAATTTCAATTTCAACAGTGATTGTTGGAGAGATTGCCAATTTTGCAGCTTATGCATTTGCTCCAGCTATATTGGTCACCCCTCTTGGCGCTCTTAGCATTATTATCAGGCATGATAACAATTAAAATTTTAGCTTCAATTTGATTCTTGACTCTAGGTAAATTCTGATTTGTGTCTCTTTCTTGCAGTGCTGCTCTTGCTCATATTATTTTACGGGAGAGGCTGCATATATTTGGAATTCTTGGTTGTGTTTTGTGTGTTGTGGGATCTACAACCATTGTTCTGCATGCACCTCAAGAACGAGAAATTGAATCAGTGACAGAAGTGTGGGATCTTGCTATGGAGCCAGGTAGCCATGTCTCTACTTGAAATATCACTGTCTTTACTCATTAGATATCATGTTGAACTACTAACCAAGAACATAATATTTCTTCTGCAACATTTCTTTTCTATGCAGCTTTGGTTATAACAGCTACCTTTGTCCTTATCTTTCACTTTATTCCTCTCTATGGTCAGACACACATAATGGTTTATATCGGTGTTTGTTCCCTTGTTGGTTCTCTGACGGTATGTGTCATTATCTAGTTGTCTCTTGATGGGTTTTTAATAGTATTTGTTCTCCCCTTGTTATTTCCCCCCTGCATTTTTATCTTAAAGTTTTCCTTTGACAGGTTATGAGTGTCAAGGCTCTTGGAATTGCCATAAAGTTAACACTGTCTGGGATGAATCAGCTAATTTTCCCACAAACTTGGGCATTCACTCTAGTCGTGACTGTTTGTGTTCTTACTCAAATGAATTATTTAAATAAGGTACTCTAGTTTTTCTTGTTACTTCCTTTAACATTATTTTTATTTGATGTACTTCCTTTTCTTAATATTCAACAAGATGTGGTGTACCTCTTTTTGGTCAACAAGTATCATGTACATGGAAATGGTTTGATTGAATTTCCATTACCATTCTGTGAAATCTGTGAAAGTATCATGTATTTCATGTTTATGTTTCTCCTTTAAATACTTTTTGTTTTTTTCTCTAAACATTTTATGTATGAAATATTTTCTTGTTTGTGTTGAGAAAAATATAAAACTGTCCAAGTGCTGGTTATTTATCTTTTTGTCTGACTTATGCATGCCATGTTTTTTAAACCATAATTCTTTTTCTTGTGTAAATCTTTTAACTTGAAACATATTACCATCACATATGACCTTGGGATCTTTTAAGTAAACTACTATGTTTGCTCGAGAGTTTTATCCCTTGGTTTCAAGATGAAAAATTGATTTGGTCACATCCACTGTTTAATGAATAAATAGTATAAACAAGGGGAATATGTAAAATTTTTGGTTTTAAATGATAGAAGAAAGCCCCCAAAACTTGATAGAAAATTTGAAGGCCAAATGAGGAAGAATATAAACAAGGAAAACAAGAGAAGTTTGACTCTTGTTTACTAGTTGGTCTGCTTAGTATTTCCTTGCCTTTTAATGCTTTTGGGAAAACCCTTAAACTAACTTTGGCTTGCAGACTGTTGGAAATTCATGGGAAAATCATCCTTATTTTTGAAGTGGCACAGGTTGAATAGTTTTGGCCTAACACACAAACTTTGGCTTTGTATGAGTGAGAGTATAACATGTATCTAACTTCGGTTCAGAAGAAATATAATAAAATGGGTAGTTTGTCATGAAGTAACTTTTTTAATGAATGCATTATCTTATCCATTACTCATTTGGTGAAGATATTTTGCTGTTTTGTGTGGTAGTTCTGCTTTAAAGATAATGTTTTTCCTCAAAAGCTCATGTTTTGCATTATTATTTATGAAACACTGCAACAATCTTTTAGTCCATGATTTTTCTTAAGTCAGTAAATTAGTGAATTGAATTTTATAAGTTAATCGATATTCAAATTGCTTGCAGGTGGATAATAAATAGGAAGATCTGAGAAAGCAAGTGTAGTGAATTTTATAATTTAAATCGAAGAGAAATGTTACCAACACGCTCTCTAACACTATTTACTGTTGGCTGAAATTTACTGGAAATCACAAAATTGTATGGTCTTACTCCTTATTTAATGGGTGCCCCACTCATGATTTTGTAGTTTCCAATACATTTTAATCAATAATAAAGAATGTGTTAAAAGGAGTGTGTTGTTAGCACTCTTAAATATAAATTCATATAAAGACAGGTTTCAGTATCTGGATGGTTTATGATCAGATCAAGTTCATTTTCTCTATAGCTTTATGCTTGAGTTTGCAGGACTAGGATAAAATCACATGTTTCCTAGGTCCTGGATGTTGTTGTCATGATTCTGCTACATAATAATGTTATGCAGTTACTTATATGTATTGTCGCCTCTCTGTCTCTTTTTGGTTTGATGAATAGTTCTTTATGCTTTATTGTTCATGTGATAATATTTTTTCATCTTTGCAATCAGGCTCTGGATACGTTTAATACGGCTGTGGTATCTCCCATATATTATGTTATGTTCACAACATTTACCATTGTGGCTAGTGTTATTATGTTCAAGGTAAGTTTTGTTACCTAACTGATATAGTCGGACATCACTTCATTGCTTTACTTTTAAGATTCTATAAATTGTGTTACATAATCTGGATTGCTTGTATATTGTGTGATCTGTGTTTTTAAAACCTCTTGACCAACAATTGCATTTAAGCTTAGAGTATCATTCTTTATATACTGTATTGTTGTTTGTTTAATTCCACTTGCCTTTATTGTAACTGTAAAATAGAAAGCACCATTTAAGAAAGATTTTAGACTATTAGTACATAAAGATAGAGGCGTTCAGACTTGAGAGTTCTATTTTGCTTCAAATTGTTTTATTAGTTCCTCCTTGAAAGTTGTAGACATTTCACCCTTCTGGTAGTTTAGATTTATGCTAGACTTTTGTCAATTGTCATCAGACATTTAGACTCTATTTTGTACTTCATGTCTTGTTAGTTTGTTAAGGTGAGAAGCACAATCTCCAATCCAAAGGCTGAGAGACCAAGAAAAACTATGGGTGAAACCTTTAAGAAGGATTTAGGGGTCAATACGTTGACTATAGATATGATTTATGATAGAGTATTATGCTGTTGGCTGGTCCATATAACCAACCCCTTAATGGGAATAGGATTGATTGTTGTTTTTAGTTTGTATAGGTGATGTTTAATATCATTTTGTTTTGGTTTTGCCACAAGATCTTCAATGATACTTGTATGCTGGTTGTTGCATATAAATATTTCAACCTAATTTTATTTGCTTTTCAAGATTTTCTTGGGTAGGTCCTGCATATACCTCTGTAGTGAACTTCTTGTAAATTATATGAGAGGTGAACGTTTCTATGAATAAACGAGTGTCTGCTGATGCATTTACATCTAGAAGATGTGAAAATTGTTTGCGAGTATATTGAACAGGATGTGAAACTTCTTTTTGCCCTTTCCCTTGACAAGTACACGGAGATGCAAATCCTTAATCTTCGCCACTTTAATCATCTTGCATCTGATGTGAAAATCATCAGTTTCATTGTTACTTGCACATTGAATATCTGTCCACTCTTTGCTGTTTTAAAGTTTGACCATTGATTGAGAATGAAATTGATGTCAGGACTGGGATAGGCAAAGTCCAACACAAGTTATTACAGAAATATGTGGGTTTGTGACCATTCTTTCAGGAACCTTTCTTCTTCACAAAACTAAGGATATGGCTGATGGTATGACCTAGTTATCCTACTGTAGCAATTGCATGTAACTTTAGATTAAGCTCTCTTGCTCACATGCATCCTCATGAACGGTCTTGAAGCCTTCAAAGTGATTAATTAATATTATCTTCATGTGCAGGCTTACTACAATCATCTCTATCTATTAGACTTCCTAAGCATTCAGAAGAGGATGGCTTTGATGGTGGTGAAGGCATTCCTCTTAGACGGCAAGAATCCTTGAGATCGACATGATATATTCTTTGCGTCATATCTTGCATAACTAAATGAGCTTGGGGCGCTGGGGAGGGATTTTGCCAAGGTCGTCTGTATTTTACTGATTATTTCCCTCCCCATCATATTTTTTACCTGATACAGTTGGAGTCGAAGGATGAGAGTTTCCTATCACTGTTCTTTTGGCCTCCTGATGATTATGCTTTCTGATCTTGCCTTGTATACCTCTCTACACTCCATACCGAAGACAAAGGCCAATGTAATTTTCTGCAAATTGATTATATATAGTGTACCTCAGTTAAATGAAAGTATTCATCAAATTTTGAACTGGACAGCAATGCAATGTTATTATCAGTGTCTGCTGCCATTTGAACTCGAGCTGCGCTTGTTGGAGCAAATTACGGAAATCAGGATGTGTAGATTCCAGGTCAAATGCATTGTTTAATACATGCCTAGGTGGATTGTTTTTACTTTTAGTTGCTGTATAGATTCAGCACTACTCATGTTGGCTTCCTTTTGGAAGAATATCGGGTAAAAAATATCTTAGCGTTCATAATGGCTTTTACCTTGTTGATCAGGGAGTCAGTCTTGTTATAACCTGGTACACTTTGGTGGGGTCGGTTCGGCAAAACTCGTAAAATACTTGTTGCATCTTAGTTTTATTTTTTATTTTTTGAAATTTACTTGACATTCTTGTATTTTTAACTCCAAAATATTTTTTTTACAGGATCATATGGTATACCTATCTATCTATATGTATTCGGTAGCATGGGAGGTGTCTGGATATGATATAGTTTGAACAAGTAATTATAGGGATTATTTTAGCAAAAAAATGAATCGGTGTTTTGTGAATTTTAAAAAATTACATGGGGTGTCGGAGTAATGTGCTAAAGAAAAGGAAAAGATGAAGAAAAGAATACCAACAATGATAAAAAAAAAAAGAAATATTAGTAAAATACTTTTTAACAAATTTCATGAAATAACTTTTGTATTGGCTAAAATTCATAGAAAGTCACAAGTTTGTGAGGATTTCACTACTCATTTAATAAGTTTCATATATAATTTTCTGGTCTTCAATAAATTTTAATTGAAAGTAAAATATGTTAGAAAGAAGAGAGGTTAGAAAATGTGTCGATAATACTGCTTATAAAGAATTGATCAAAAGGGATGAAAACAAAGGAGAATATAAAAAAAAAGGAGGCCAACAAAGATTAAGAAGAATAAACAAAAGGAAAATCGAGGGAAAAAAGAAAGATTGTGCACAACTTATGTAAACAAGTGAAATTTACGAGTTTTTTCATTTACAAATAAAACTAAAATTGAAAATTAACTAGTGTTTTCGATTTACAAATAAAAGTTAAGAAAAATATGAAAATAAATTATTTATCAAGACGAATTATCTCTATTTACATTTACTTTCAAAATTCGAAGGCAAATCCAAATTAATGAAATTATGATTAATCAAGATTAAATTACTCTTAAAATTTAGTATGCCTGAAATAGTAAGATATCTTTAATTTCAATAATTTGATAAGGTATATCACCTATATACAATTTAATTTTACTTAATAGGATTTGAAATGGAAAAAATTAAATATACACTATAAAAACTGTTTTCTTTATGGTTTTTTATTCTTAAAAAAAAAATTTATAATAAAAATATGAGAATACTTTTAAGTTTTTGTTTTTTACTTTTAATTTTCTATTGGTTCTTCCTGTAGTACCATCTCATCAATTTCCGTCTATTTTTATTTTCTAAGTTTTTCAAAAACTATTCTTTAAAATAGTTTTAAAAATCAAATAAAAGGAGAATCAAACTCACCCCAATTATTGTTTCTAATATTATAACATTCAATAATTTGGTTCAAGTTTAAAATATTCATAATATGATGTAATTAACAATTTTAATAATTTTTTTTCCATTTGTAAAGTTAATTATATTAATATTAACAAGTTGTAACAAAAAAAATATTAATATTAACAAGTACAAATATTAATATTAACAAGAAATATATTTTTTAACATTATTATGCAATCATAAATTATTATATATATGTGTGTGTAATAAAAAGAATATAAAAGTATTTTTTAATGTATTTTTATTTGACAAATTAAAAATACACAATATAGAAAGTGAAGTTTACAATATTATTTTTCTCTCTTCTAGACATGCATTTTACCATGGACATTTTTTTTTAATAAATTTTATGGGTGATAAATTTTGACACTTTATCCTTTTAATTTACAGTCTTTTGTCTTCATCTATAAATTGAATTTAAATAGTTCTTTTTTAAAAATATCAAATTAATTAAAAATTAAATTATTTATTATAAATCTAAAATGTTTTATATATTCAAAATATTTATTTAATAAAAAATTTAATTATATGAAATAAATATTTTTCTTTACAAACTAAATAATTGAAAAATCTTTATAAGATGTTTGTTTGAGGATATCATGATATATTTTTAAGAGCTACATTCTCAAGGAATATTACTATAATAAATGTTGTTTCAAGATATATTAAAAAGGTATTTGGACATATCTTATTTTTAAAAATAATAAAAGTAGAATTTACCAGAATATTACTTTGTTATCCTTCGTTATAAAAATGAAAAACTGCCTAAAAACATAGAAATGCAAATTTCGAGAAAATAAAAATACCTAAAAAAACTCTTTTATATTCCTCTAACAAACATGCAACTAAATATTCCCATTTGATCTTTTCCTGATGAAGTGAAACAAACAACTTGATAGAAGTATCAGAGTACACCAAAATTCAACCCAACAAAAAAACCTGGTTCGTAGGTGGTGGAGCGTGGACCAACATAGGAAAAAACAGAACACAAAGGTGTCTGATGAAGTGAAAGGTTGTGTTGTGAAGAGTGTTTCGATTTCTAAGTAGCAATGGATGTCAGCGCCAAACTGAGGGTCGTTGGTATTCTATGGTTGAAAGGTGTAGGAGAGGCGTGTTGCCTTCATCGCGTTCTTATTCTCTGCATTAGGTAATTCCTCTAAATTCAATTAATTTAATCAATTCCTTTTCTCAAATTGTTCTTTTGCTTGCGTAGGTCGAAGAGGCTATTGATGCGAACTGGTCAGTGTTTCCTCTTAAATGGTTTCATTTTCTTAGGAAGGTACTCTTTTCTTTCCCATCGCAATTTATTTCAACATTCAACTCCTAATCCTCTAAATCTCCATAACCCCACATTGGCAAAATCAAATTTTGCAATTCAATAAACAATTTAGTACAGTTTAAGATTCTTAGTCTCCTTTCTGGAGTTGTGGGCTCTGGGAGTAGTTCTCTAACTCTAACATATGTGGCCATGATGTTGGTGTGAGTAATTCTTTTGCTTTTTTGCTTCTTTTGTTGCTAGTAGCTACCATCTTTACATTCTATCATCTTGATTCTATCTTCAGCACTGTTCGCAAGTATATTAATCATTGCGAGAAAAATAAAAATTTATGTTTTACATTCACTTCTCACCTATGTAAGATAGAGTTCATGGTGTTTTCAGGCTTTAAGGATAATATAGAGTTAGATTTTTTTATTCCAATCTGTCTTTTTATTTGTTCTTTATGATATTTACTAATAGACTTTAATTGGGGAGACTGAATTTTGAGATCTGAAATATCGATAATGCTAGCCTTCTCATATCTCAATTTTCCAACAAAATCAATCTTTTTCTCCAAATTCCTAGAATAGACATCTCAAATTGAGTTCTTGTTAAGGTGTCTGGTTTTGGATGAGTGGGTTTTGGAGGGGGCCAGGATCTGCAGATGGAGATCTATCTCTTAAAAGTGCTTAGCTCATGAAGTAATGAAACTAGCTTCAATTTATTTTAACAGTGAATGAAAATTGTGGCAAAAAATTGAATTGTGTATACTTTTGATAATGACTGGAAGAAATCTTATTGACAGTTAAATCTGTGTTTAATAATTTGAACATCTTTAAATTTTTGTGCAGTATATTCGTCCTAAACTCAGTTGTGATCCCTGCATTGTGGTGGATATTACCTGATCAATGCTCACAGATTGTTTCTCATAAACTGTGTGACTTAGGTGGCACTTTGAAATTTTATTCTTTCTTACGTCTTGCACTCATTCAGCTCTTTTATGTAAGTATGAAATATACATTGACTGTAAAAGGTACTTTGTTGCATTGCTCTCTGAGTTGACTTTTTTGCCTTTATAACATACATGGATTTTCAGTATTTATATTGTTTAAAGAATCTATCGATCCTGAGCTAATATAACTTTGATCTTGCCTTGAATTAGAGTCTCACCAATTAACTTTTCCAATGCTTTATTACGAGTTAAATGAACTTGTTGAGGCAAACATTGATTTAGAAAAGCATAGAAGGTCTATTAGAAAAATGAAGTTTCAAAATTTAATGTCTGGAATGCTAGTTGCATATTGCTGAGATGATTTTCTCATTTTCATTGATGAAATGTGCATTTTAGATATCTTTCTATATCTAGTTTGCATGATAAAAAACCTGAATTTGAATGTGTTTTTCCAATTAATCTTTTGTGATTTTTCTTCTTTTTATTCCTGCAGGTTCTTTGGTTTTACCCTTTATATGTGTTTAGCATAGTTCTTAGCACCATTTGGTAATATTTTCCTTTTAATCTTCTTTCCTGCATCTTTATTTCGACTTTGTATGCATTGGGCCATTCTACGTTGTTCATGTTCATTGTCAAGTTATTTTATATTTGTATGTCTTCTATACTAAGTAATGAAATTTCTTCAACCAGGCAAAATAAGCAAAGTGCTTTTAAGAGTTATGGATATTCTCCAAAAGATTATAAGACCACCAAATATAGAAATATTATAGCCTTCAGTCCCATTCTATATCCATATAAACAATGCTACCCAAATAAATATTATGGACTTTCTCTATCCAAAATCCATTCTATATCCATTTAAACAATCCTACCCAAAAAAATATTATGACTCCCAACACAGGCATTAAATACATCTTTAGAATATATGAAAATATCCATTATTATTTTGATGATATCCTAGATTATGCTTTATGGTTAGTTTTTATTTTTATTTTCTCATTATCTCTTAGGATTGGTTATCATTATTCCTAAATGTCATGATTTGTTTTCTTATTTAGTTAGGACTTAAGACTGTGATTTGTATAAATAAGGGTTAGTGCCTTAGTTATTATGAGAATATACCATTAGATTCATCATAAGTATAAATAAGGGTCACATTATAATTCATCATAATATTCTATTCCAAGTCTCTTTTCTGTCAATTTCTTCCCACAACACCCAAAATCCCATCATTTCTACATGATATCTGAATGGTACCATCCTCTGACTTGTCCCATCACTGATTTGCTGATGAGCCCTGGAAAATTTGGAGTTTTACTTTCTTTTAACTACTTTGAAATTAGTCAACTCTCTAATTGTGATAATTTTCGGACATTCCTCCGTTTAGAAAAGCATCTCTGGTCATCATGAGTCCCTTTTTTGACCACCATCCATCATCATGACATCTTCAGTAAGACCAAACACCCACATTTTTCTCCAGTTTTTGATGTCCTCCATTGTGCATTTTTTTTGACATATTTCAGATAATTTTCCGATTGTTTTGTCGTTTTGGCATTTAAAAGAGTACCCTGGCCATAATGATTTAGGCTATCTCCTTCACTGGTTTTGTCTCTGTTGTCGGGCATAGTTATTAACCTTGGCTAGCGGTGTGTATTGGACAACATTGAAAATGCCATTTCTGGATGCAAGATTCCCGCTATTTTATTTATTATAATACAACCTAAATAATTTATACACACATGTATGTACATACTGAAAACGAAAACTAAAACCAAAATTTAAAGAAATTCATGATAAATATTAAATAATAATAATTCACAGTTTAAGCACACAATCACTATAAGTCTAGGGGCAATAAGAACATAGTAATGAAGTCAAAAAATTGACGGATAGTGGTGAAATTAATAGAAAAGGAACATGATAAACTAGACAAAAATTAGCAGAATGTGAACCGAAAACACAGGGAAAAAGTAGTCCTGTAAAATGTGAAGGAAGAAAGGTCGAAATGGGTAACTTATTGTGGAATGATCAAGGAAGAAGGGTTTCTTTCTGAATATGCCAGTTTCCCTTTGAAAGATAGGTTTTATTCCTATCAGAATTGCTAACAGAATGCTTTTAGGTACAATGACATTGCCAAATATGGGTATGCTGCAATGGGAAGATCTAAGCTTACGGCAGAGAGAGGCTCAAGCCAAAACAACTCTTCACCTGTACAAAATGCTAAACATGTAAAAGGACCATCTGGATTGGGAGGGTAAAGTTCAAATGAATAGTTACTTAATGGTGCATTATTTTTTTCTCATTTTCTAATTGATATTAATTCTTACTGGGTAAGTAGTGCTAAAAGGTTCAGCTACTATGTTTGCTTAATTCAGGGTCATGATTGGAATAGGACAGCAGGTGTACTCGATACTCCTTTTGAGTGTTTTCTTTCTTGAGGTAATAAAATTACAATTTCGATTTCCATATTAATAGGAATATACACATGCCTTGATATTCAGTAAAATCGATTATCCTTCATTTTATCCTTCCACAAGCAATTTCTAATGTTATATGCAGGTCTATGCAACAGGATTCATACCATACATAGGGAAGCTGCTCAACTTTTTACTCCTCTCCTGGATGTATGCATATTATTGCTTCGAGTATGTGGTCCATAACTCCATTTACACCTTTTGCTTGATGCCTTTAACAGTAGAATGCATTTTAAAAAATATGCTTTTATATTAGGTACAAATGGAATTTCAATGAAGTGGCTCTTGACCGAAGGCTGGACTACTTTGAATCTCACTGGCTATTTTTTGCTGGTTTTGGTCAGTTTTTTTTAACTTATTTACATGAACTTTATTAAGTAGAAGAATACTAGCAACTCAGTCTATTATTGGTTAAACTTTATTGGAAACTACAAAATCAGGAGAGAATCATTAAATGAGAAGTAAGGCCTACCAAAACTTGTAATTTTCAATAAATTTCAGCTAATAAAAGAGTTTGTTGCTATTATTTTTTTGATTAAGTGTACTTTTTTGTTTAGCTAGAGAATTTCATATGTTTAGATCATGTGGCTTTTCTTTGATTTTTTTTAAAAAAAATTTATTGGCTGTTATGAGATCAAAACAACTTATAATACTAACCTTAGGAGGAACAACAGTTCCTTTTTTATGTGTTTTCTAGTAAAAGGTAAATCCTTAATCAGTCTCTGTCACACAAGTGTAAGAGACAAAGTTACGAGGGAATATGGATGAGGATTGAGGATTGAGCAATTTCAACATTGTGAAGTGTGAAGTTATTAAGAAGAATGCCATATAATTCAATAATTCATATGTGAAAATGTGAAATTGACACGTTGGCTATTGAAGTTTAAAATTCATTCTAAATTCTATCTTCGTGAAGAATCTTGAGCTATGGAACAAAATTTGTATATTATATTTAATACTTTATTCTCTAATTCACTTCATGTTTGAGATTAAAAATGTAACTTATGTCCTTACAGGGAGCCCTTGTGTTCTGGCCATATTTTTTTTCTCTCCCCTCGTGAGTTATGGGATTATGGCTATACTTTTTCCACTGGTATGGGTGACTATGTTGTTTATTTCCCTTCTATTTGTTTCTTCCTCCTGCATTGATTTTTTTTTTTTTTTTTTTTTTTTTTTTTTTTCTTTTTGGCATTTCCTTTTATTATTTTGAACTAAAATATCATGTTCACTTTATCACGAATCAATGATAGTAAATAAGTAACATACATTGTATATTTCAGTTTGTTCTAACTGCAACTGGGTCGGAGTCTGAGCAAGAAATATCCTTTGAAAAACATAAATGGAGAGCTACAGGAGTGGAAAGACTTCCAATATTTTATGTTGCAGACAAAGTGTCGTAAGCTCTTCTTTTCTTATCCCTTTACTCTAGACATTGCACTACTCATCTTAGCTACTAGGCAAGTGGCCCAAAAGGGCATTAGTGTAGTGATTAATGCCCAATGACTTTATATGGTACGTGAAGACACTACTTGGTCTGATAAGTGCTAGTTGCTTCAATGATGACGCAAAATGCATTTTTCTGTATTAATTTGACAATTTTGTGGTGTTTCTAAATGATTTTGTGTATTAATTTGGATTTTGGCTTGATATGATATTAAACTCTTCCTCTCCTTCTCTATTAATGTTATATTGTTGTGTTTCTAAATGATTGAGTTTCTAGCGAATGATCAAATATCTTATCAAGTAATCTAAGACATTGGTTAATTGTTCTCATATGTCATTTATGAGCTAAATTTGGCTAAGTCAATTCGATCTCATACATCTCTGTTATCTCTCTTTCTGTTTTGCCGGTGACGGTAGGACGCAGTATGCTATTAAGGGTAATGGAATGGTGATAGTTAATGTTAACATTGATGCTTAACATTTTTCTGATAGTGTATCTTTCTTATTCCAAGTTCTTTTGGTCAGTTTTGAGATACATTTATGAAATCAATCACTCACTATTTGATCACCCAATTTTCTAATTATGACTGATGAGCTTGCATGATTTATTATGAAGTACCTAGGGAGTTATTACTACTGGACCTTAGTTATTATAATTTTAACCACATTGATTGGTATTTGTGTAGGATGTGGATGTTATCTCTTTTACCCCTGGAGAAAAGGGACCAGGTACAAGACAGAAAAGCACAATGAGATTGTCGTAGTCAGTTATTCTGGCATAGCTGATGACACGTGAGAACACAAACTGATTTTGTCTACTGAGGCGATATTTATATTAAACTTGCAGTGTGCTTTCCTATGCAAATGTTTATTCAGCATATATGGAACTCCCTACCACCTTCCCCCTTTCTCTTTTACTAAAAACTGATTATTTTGTTTCGTTTGTTTTAATGCTGTAGGACAAATTTTATGTTGTAACAAGCTGGTGCACACGTGACTTCAGAATTCAGACGCAGAAAGTTAAAGCTACTAACCACTGCCAGATCCAAAATCTCACCGAAATGGTCCACGTTACAGGGTTGGCCTCAACTTGGGTTTGCATTTTAGGAATCCTGTTTGTACTCCTTCCACCACCACCCGTAACATTATATACGAATTTTAAATTATGCTGTGTTTCATATACATGCTACAGTTGAGTCTTTTCCGTATATGCAATATAATATATTAAAAGTGACATGCTAATTGAAACGTGGTGTGTGCTAATAATATGTGCATATTTCCCTGCCCTCGTAGTTATCATCCTAGTTCCTAGATTATGAATATTTGATGCTGTGATGGGATGGGATGCTAATCTTTGAAGAAAAAAAATTAATCTAATTTCAGGGTTTGAGATAAATTGTTGGTTCTAGTAGGATAAAACAAGTCAATAATGTAATTTATTAAATTTGCAAAGTAGCCCCACAAAAGAGCAGCATGACGACTAGAGATTGGGTCACAGTTGAAGCCTTGAAGGTGGTGTGGGAAATTCCGAAAGGCTATTGGACAACTTAAGAAACTTTTCCTGCTATGCCTTAGTCTTTGTGATTCCATATATTTTGGGGTTAGAGTCTTTAAGATGAAGTGTTTTTGAAAGTTTTTTTTTTACTGAAAAATATATTTTATTTCGTAGAAAAGTTCTTAAAATTATTTATAAACTTGTATTGAACAGAGTTTTTGAGTTTATCTCAAAACAATCTCGTCAATTTAGGCGATTCACAAAATAACCTTCTGGGGACATTTCCGAATGCCAATTTACTGAGGATAAGGACAAATTTTTTTATAGAAGAGTCTCTTAATGATAAAATTGTTATATTGTGTTTTCATTTTCTACTGATTTTTGCTTTAACTTTTTAATGACAAAATTGTTTCTTTGCTTTCAATTTTTTTAAGTGAATATATATATCTATACTTCTATACTAATATATAAAGGAGATATTCTTTTGAGTAACTACCTTGATCTCCACTTTTTGAGACTATTATACCCTTTTTATTTTAAAAAATTAAAAAAAATATTTTTTAATCAAATTTAAAAACTTGAAACTAATAAATTTATGCTAATATATAAAAGGATACTATTTTCAATAACTACTTTTAATTTTTACTTTTACATGAACCATTTTATTATTTGTTTATTTTTTAATAATTACTTTTTTTATGAGTAACTTCTCATTTTTTTTATTTATTTTTTCTTTTAATATAATACAGACACTGCCTTTTTTCCTGCTAGTATATATAAAGGGAATAAAACAGGCCCTTATTATTTCTTATTTTACGATGTAAGCAATACACAATATAACAATAATTTATAATATATGACACCAAATAGATATATTTTTCAATTTTATAATATATTTTTCCGTAAAAAAACTGTCAAAAACACTTACGTCTACCATAAACTAGCGGCTATTAACTAAAATTAACTCGTCTATTAAAATATATTTTTTCTTGGTCTATTAAATTAACTAAAATTAATTTATAATATATGTTTTACAAATTATTATCTATTAAATAAAAAAGATTTATTATCTATACACAAATGTTCAAAAACTTCTACTTTTTTAGTTTTTAAGATAATATAAGACACCAAATCGAATTGGAATGCATCGAGACATAACTTGGACCCATCCTCAAATAACATTATATCTAAATTCAAAACATGAACCCCTCAAAAATCAACCTTGGATCTAAACTGGAATCAAGCATGAAACATGTCTCCGGAGATTTTCACTCAGATGGGGGAACCTGACCGCGCATGACCCTCCAAGGACCATCATAAAACTTTGGTCTCATCAGAGGCACTGCTTTCCCAGGGTGCTCTTCCCAGTATTTTTCCTGTGATATTGCAATACATGTTAGATTTTGAAAGATAGATTCTCCCAATATATTTAAAACTAGTAGTATATATTCCCATGAAATTCTTAACATGTAGCAGAGAATATGGAAAATCTCACAACCAGATGATTACCGCGTTTTCTTCAACTAAATTCAGCAATCACTATTATGGCACTACTCACTAGGCAAATTGGCGCAAGTAATTAATTAGGTGATTCAAGGAGGGACATCTTGTTAATTGGAAGCCTTGTTTCAAGCCCCTATGAAGAAAGGTGATTGGATTTCAAACCTCACTCTCTTTGGCACAAGGGCATGAGGAGCAAGTACTCACTTCATCAAAATGGGTGGGATGCCAAGCTTGGGGTGAATACTACTCATGCATGTGTCCCAAACCATCTGGTCCCCCAAATCAATAGATAGAAATAAAACAAATCTTACCTATCAAATTATTGTGCAACTAAAACTCACCATTCTATGTTCAGGATCAGGGCTTTCCAGAAAAAAAATGCAGATAATAAGGAACAATACATCAGAGAACTTCCAAAGACATGATATAACAGTAATTTTTATAATTAAAAATGCTTGTACCCAGCCAAGGATAATTACAATAGCCCCAATTCTAAGCCCAGAAACTGATTAAAAAAAAGGTGTCCTCTACCTCCCACACAATTCTCTTTGTATCAGATCCATATGATTATCTTTTTTTCTCTAAGTAACTGTTAGGAACCAAGATATCAAATAAGAGAAATAGTTGAACTAGTATTCATATTTATGTATAATCAGAGGAAAATTCCTCTATTGCAGTAGAGTATAAGAGAAATCCAACAGAAACAGAAAATAATGACTGGACTATGGAAGGAGATAATCCCCTTACAAAGTATGAAATAACAACTAAGTAAAACTACAAAACAAACATCAGATGATGAGAAGAGCCAGCCTCTCCTCAAAATCACCACCCAAAACCTTTCTCAAAATAATCCCCCTTCATTCAGTTACTCTTCCTCCATATATACTCATTTTCTCTCTCCCCTTTGGCCCCCACTGCATAATTCTCGCCTAACCCTTCCCACTCTTTTACTGCCACATACCCATTCAGACTAAGTTATTTTCCCATTTTGTAAACATGACTTGTGAACCTAACAGTAAACTTCCCCTCCCCCACAACTCACTTTTGTTTCTTCTAATCCAATTACAACTAAGATAAGTTATAGTCTTGAGCCTAAAGGTGCAAACTTGTGAAGATGCATTTTCTTCACAAGGATGTTACAGGAAAACCACAAAAACCCTGTAGATTCGTAGAATGAACATTTTATTGATAGAAATTATAAAGAAGATAAATAAATTTATCTTTTGAAAGCTAAACCGCAAGCATACAATAGAACAAATCAAACCATAAGGTTGTATCCAAGAAACAACAAAAACATAAGGCATAAAAATTGAAATGGCAGAAAATGAATTATATTCACATAGCACATTCACAAACTAATTGCTAAAATATACCTAAAACCCACACTGCAGTTTCAGAACCTGGAACTAAAAAAACAACTGAAGAATTAATGCAAATACACATGTCATATAGTTCTATACTTGTTTTAAGCCATCAAAATCTAATGCAGCAGGTAATCAAATATAACATTAAAACACTTGAACAACAGAATTAAACTCATCAATAAGCTGTCCGTCCATATTGAAGCCTATAATCAAATCCGGAATCAATCACTGAACTACTTCAAATAAACAAAAACTAAACAATAAATTGAAAGGCCAATCCCAATAGAATTTAATTCCGAATTGGTAATACAAAGAGGTAATGACGATTGGTTGAGTCCTCTACCAGTACCAGGATCTTGTTAGAAAAGATGATATAGATAAAGCAAACAAAAATCAGGATCCAAAGTAACACAACCTTTACACAATAGTTTATACAATTGTGAATTTGTGACAGGCATTCAATTGAAAGCACCCAAAAGGCCAACAACCCCAATGCCCAATCAAAACCCAAAAATTGATAACGGTAAAATTTGAAATTCCATTTTCTTGGGAAATAAAGAGCAAGAATGGGGGCACAGAGGAAATCTAAATTCATGATTGGAAGAAAGTGAATGAAAAAAACAATGTTTGGCCTTGAAACAGTTGTTGGAAAACTTCAAACTCACAATTTCATTGACTTTTAACATTCTAGCACCCAAATTCTTTTATATTCAATTTCTTTGGCATTTGAGCTCAAGAGAGAATACCATCACAATAAAACCTCATCAAACATCCACCAGTGATTTATAATTAAAATGTTCAATATTTCGAAGTTTAATCATTCCTTCATCCAACAAAAAAAAAAATAAAAAAAAAACAAGAAACACAACACACTGCTAATGAAAAAGTCATAGCCATTGGAGTCTATGTAGAATAGAGTCTTCAAACAACAACTACCACTGGGCATATACAACAAAGTTTCACCATTTTTCTCCTTCCAATTTCATCACAAAATATGAATAAGAAAACCCACTCACGATTATTTGTTTTAAACTACCGATATCCAACAAGTGGCGTGAGAGAAACAAAATAAAATAAAATAAAACAAAAGCACTATACAGATTAAAGAAAAAGAATAGAATTACATTGAAAATAAATAATAATAATAATAATAATAATAAGAATAATCATTAAAAAAACCTTGTAGAGCTGCTCCGTGATGGCAGCACCAATGACTCCAGAGTAGAAAGCAGCAATGTAAATAGTGACCAATGGAGTAAAGGATTTGGGCCTTCTGTAAGGCTCCACCATGTCCCATAGAAAAGTTTTTTCCCACTTTGTATACAAATATTCTGAATATTTTCTGAACAGATAGCTTATCATTTTAATTACTTTCCCTTCAGCACCCTCAAACGGTATTCAAGATCCTGAAAGAGAAAGAAGACTGTGAGACAACCTTCAATTGAAAGAAGACTGCAGTGGCACAGCCATACATCAAGAGCCAACTCAGGATATCAACTGTTCACTATTGGCGGTGCTATGATGAGTCACTAGAAAACTTGCATGGGCATGTCCTTCCTAATTAATCTAAATACACAATTTATAGCTGGAGGGTAGAATCCCTATTAAATTGACTAAACATATTTGGAGGGTAGCCTGATCACCAAAGGCAAAAGGAGACCAAGAAAAAGTAGACCAAAAATTTATAACATGGCTTCTCTTTAAAAGTAGATTTTCAAGTTTTTGATTTTTTGCCAGACTTTTTGTCATTGTTATTATTGGCAGACTCCTCTCAGTGATGTTTTATAGAGGTTTTTGGGGCATTGCTCCCTTTAGCCCACCAAAAAGTAAATAAGGAAAAGAAAATGAGGTAATTCTTCAGTCCAAAAATAAGTCCAGAGTACTGAACAAAATTGTCAAGGCAATACTGCATCATATTAAAGCTTTCACTTTCAAGAACAATGCTGCATTGAAGACAAGTAAACCAAGATGCAATAATCTTTAACCATGGAACCAAATAATCATCTAATGAGAATGCTAATAAAACACTAACACATTCTTTATTAAGGATGAAATTTGTGTGTAACTCACTAAATAACGTAGCTAACTCTCACTCTATTTATTCCACTTAAAAAAAGCTCTCACTCTATTTATTCCACTAAAAAAAAGCTCTCACTCTATTTGATAGGTCTCATTCCCTATTTAATGGGACCTACATTCAATAATAAAATGTGTGATGTAAGAGTGTGTGATAGATATCTGAGGGTGTACAGTAGGAGAAATAGGCGGAAAGTACAGGATTAAAGTGTAACTAAATAACAGAATGTATTGGTAGTAAATGGGAAATATAAATAGGAGTTGGGGGGTCGATAAGGGGGGGCTTTTTAGACAATTGTTTTGTGGAGAGTCAGGTCTCTCGAATACCAGAAATTTGTTTACAGCAATAAAGTGCATAATACAGTGTTTTCTTTCTCCTCTGTTATACCTGAACCAGTTCTATCAGTGTGCTACACAATGTATTGCCATTTCACGCCATCTAATTCTAAATTTAGCTAGATGCAGGACACCAGTGGCTCAAATGTAATGGATTAACACAGAGGATTGCTTTTCACAGTACACGCCTTTAGAAATGGAAGCTTTAAGACTAAGCTAAGCAACCTTTACCAAGCATTGCTGTCATGGTTGTTTACAAAGTTTTGTGCTTAGGTATATATCAAATTACTGGGGGGAGGGGTTAAGTGAATAATAGTGTTAAAAGCTAGTTATGAGTACGCTTTAACAATATGCTAAGCACATCTAATTCTGAACATGTCAAATTGGATATTACTGAATTCGGAGTTTTGTTATGAATGAGACAAATAATTCTTCCATGATAAATGATAATGCCCCATGCTTGTGCTTGTGCTGCATTACTTCCTAGTACTGACAAGCTTTTTTTCTCTTCCTAGAGTAAAGGATTGTTTTTTAAAAGATAGGAATAAAAAACATGAGAACTACGAATATTCTTAACAGCATAAAAAACAGGAAAAATGATATTATAAATAAATAAAACACACACACAAACCCTTTAACAGATCAACCCAAACCCTCTGACAATGTGTACTACAAAAGCACTTAAATTTACAGATTTTAAAAATAACATAAATGATTGATTACAAGTTGGAAGTGTGCGGGTTTGAATTATGTTCTGGGGGCTTTAAGTCAAGAAGGGGTAAGAAATAGAATTACATGGGCAAGAACTCATGTTAAGGAGTGACATGGATATCTCGGTACTAGAGTAACAAATAATCATGTATGGATATAGATTCAGTTAACAAGTACAGTAAGAACCATTATTTACAATCCCATGTAGCTTTCAGGTGAATCGTACCAGTCCTATTAGCCGAACTTAATCAGTTAAATTACAGATGATGGCATGTGATATTATCATTTTCTATTCATCATACAAAGATTCCAATTACAATTACTGGAGGGGAACATATATATCATCAAGGCTCAAGCTTTTCTTCAATCCTGAATGATTTTAATTTATTTTTTTGTGTTTTCAATATTATAAAAACCATACTGCTATCCTGCTCATTACATGCTTGTGGGGCAACATAAAATTATATGAAGTATACTCTGATTTTATTTTATTTTTCTTAGCAAGAAGAAAACTGTTAGCAACAAATCTCTAGATTACTTTTCCTATTTCAATTAACTAATTCTTACTTTAATAGCCAAAAAAAACAAATTTCAAACGACCCAGCTGTTTACTTCACAGAACGAAGATGACAGACAGGGAACTGCAATATGGAGCAATTATTATTACTACCTTGGAGTGAAGAGTGGATCGTTCAATTCAATGCAAGAAGCTTCATCAACTAGCAGCAATTGAACCAGCAACGGTGAAGCAAAATCGCAATTGGGATGGAATGCGAAATGAGGATCTCTTGAATGCCGGGGTTGAAGTGATGTTCAAAACCAGGGAAAAAAGACTTATTATTGTGGGCTCGGGTTAAACCGGCCCATTAACGTGTGAACCCTAAAAACTAATGCGAAGGGTTACTTACGAAAGGAAAACGCTGCAGCCGCAAATCACAACACTACATAACCTCGCTCAGTGTAGCCTTTGTGAACGTGATTCATCGCCGTTTTCGTTCTTAGTTTCTTGTCTCCCCCTCTCGTTCTATGCACTTGTGTGGAATAGGGTTTTGTTACCGATTTGTATGAAGTAATGAGAGGGATGATGAGATCAAATAATCTCGTTAATCTGATATATAATGAGGATAACTTTTCTCATCCATTCACTATTCTTTCTGAGCACCTTCTTTTGTATATTGGTCTATGTTTTGTACCTCAACTCTTGTTCTTTGTGTATATGATGCAATGACAATATTTTTTGTGAATATCAAAATGCCATATCAAATTCAGCATGTTACATCGATTAATAGGCAAGCTAAATCACATAATTTTTAAATTTTGAAATAATAAATTTGTGATTAAAAAAATCAAAATTACGGTTTAGAAATTATAAAAAGAACAAAAATTACAATTTAGTTGTCGACCATGTTAGCATATGTGCCTAATCTTTGATCTAGGAATGACAAATAAATTTTCTGTCGATAATATCGAATTCATCTCGATTTTAATAAAAAAATATCTAGTTTGACTAGGTACGGGTATGAGTAAAATCCAAAATATACTTGTCCTCATCCCCGGTTTAATATATGTCCCCAATTTAATTGTTTTAAATAATTTTAATATTTAATTATGCGTGATTATTTACTGTGATGTGAAACACTTGTAGTTGTTTAATTATTAAGGATAAGCTAAAAATATTGTGCATTTTTTGTAAATAAAAAAAAATTGATAGGTAAAGGTATACTCGATACCTTATGGAGACGAAAATGAGACAAAAATTACATACCTGACAAGTACAAAAATAGATATCATGAAATTCGTACCTGACCTAGTTGTCATGCCTACTCTTATCTTCTAAGTTATTGCCACATTTTTATTTAATATAATATTGATAAAATTTGTTAAGTTTTTAATAAAAATTGATGAAGAGACTTGATTATAAATGAGAGAAAAATTATAAGTAATTATTGTATAATTACAACACTTAAAAGACTTAAACTACAATTAAACAAAATATAAATTAACAAAATTATAACATGAGTAGTGTGTAAGGATTTAATTATAAAATTTTAAAATTATTTAGACTTTTAAAGTAGAAAGAATTAATTAAAAAATCTATTACATTATGTCACTCATACATTAATTTAACCTCATATTTAATTATAATTTAAAAATAATTATGAATTTTAAAAATATTTTGTAAGTGGAAAGAGTTGAATTATATCACACACATATTAATTTAAAGTTATACAAATTAGCTAATGTTGTAATTTATTTGTATGCTTGTCTTAAAGTTATAAAACAGAAATTTTGGAGACAAAGTTTACAGCACCCTCGCTTTTCTGGTACCTTTCATACGTGGACCAATAATTTAAAGACATTTCATTTAAGTGTGCTATGTCAAGTTAAATTTGAAATTATAAAATTTTGCTATTAAGTCATTTTTTTTCAAGCTGAAGTCCAAGTGGTGTACCATGTACCATGAATCTTTACCATTAGATGCATCTAATCTAATAGCTTATTATACACACTAAATTTTCAAAATTTTTTATTAAATTAATTTTAAAAAAAATAATTTACCCAAAAAAATTCTATTTACGCAACTTCCACACTTTGGTTTTCAGGTTCAGAACGGGCCGTTATGAAATCAGAACGGGCCGTTCCAGATGAAAACACAACACATGAAGAATAGACAAGAACGGCCCGTTCCAAATCCAGAACGGCCCGTTCCAGATTCAGAAATAAGACATGTCCAGTTAAACCAGAACGGGCCGTTCTAAAATCGGAACGGCCCGTTCCAGATTCAAAAATAAGACATCTTAGTTAAAACCATAGGCCTACCATATCCATTGGGCTCACTAAGCTCTGAAGCAATTAAAAGCCCAAAGGCCCATGATGCCCAAAATTAGGCTCAATAAGCTTAAAACCCACAAAGTCTTATACTAAGAAGAACCCTAGGCCCACCAAACTCATTGGGCTCACTAAGCTCTGAAGTAATCAAAAGTCCAAAGGCCCATGAAGCTCAAAATTAGGCCCAATAAGCTTAAAACCCGCAAAGTCTTATACTAAGGTCCATAATACAAGACCAAACAATATAAACTCCTATATTACCAAAAATACTACCCATGGGGCTCACTAAGCTCTGAAGTAATCAAAAGTCCAAAGGCCCATGAAGCTCAAAATTAGGCCCAATAAGCTTAAAACCCGCAAAGTCTTATACTAAGGTCCATAATACAAGACCAAACAATATAAACTCCTATATTACCAAAAATACTACCCATGGGGCTCACTAAGCTCTGAAGTAATCAAAAGTCCAAAGGCCCATGAAGCTCAAAATTAGGCCCAATAAGCTTAAAACCCGCAAAGTCTTATACTAAGGTCCATAATACAAGACCAAACAATATAAACTCCTATATTACCAAAAATACTACCCATGGGGCTCACTAAGCTCTGAAGTAATCAAAAGTCCAAAGGCCCATGAAGCACAAAGTTAGGCCCAATAAGCTTAAAACCCAAAAAGTTTTATACTAACTACCCAATTATCTATCCTTTAGAAACTTATCACCTACCCATAAAGCCTTCCTCACAAGCCTAAACACTACAACAACACCTACCTCTTTATCTGAGGCATTGAGTATTGCAGCAGGTCAAGGAGAAGTTCAAATAAGCCCATCTATAACCCTTAAAAATGTCCTTCATATTCCTAAACTGTCTGTCAGTTTGATTTCCATAAAAAAGCTCATAAAAGACCTATCATGTAATGCCATATTTTATGACAATGTTTGTATATTGCAGAACAAGTACTCGGGGAGGACGATTGGACATGCTAGAGAATGGAATGGCCTTTATTACTTGGATAATCCGGATTTGCCACCAGACCTGGAAAACAACAACTCTTTTTTCTCTGATTCAATGAAGGCCAACAGGGAGAAGGTCTTCCTACATCACTGTCGTCTTGGACATCCTTCCTTTAGAGTCATAAAATTGTTATTCCCTTCCCTTTTTAGCAAATTAGATGTGGAAAGTCTCCATTGTGAAGTGTGTGAGCTTGCTAAGCACAAGCGTGTACCTTTTCCAGTTAGTAATAATATGAGCACTTTTCCCTTCTATTTAATTCATACTGATGTGTGGGGTCCCTCAATTGTCCCAAATGTTTCTGGTGCCCGTTGGTTCCTCACCTTTATAGATGATTGTACTCGTGTCACATGGGTCTTTTTACTAAAACAAAAATCCGAAGTCAGCTATGTGGTTCAGCGTTTTTTCTCCATGGTAAAAAATCAGTTTGGAGTTAGCATTAAGAGGATTAGATCCGATAATGTCAAAGATTACTTTAATCATGGGCTTATTTCCTTTTGTCAAAAGGAAGGTATCATTCATGAGTCATCCTGTGTCAAAACACCTCAGCAAAATGGGATTGCTGAGAGAAAAAAATGGTCACCTACTTGACCAAACTCGGGCTCTTCTTTTTCAACATGAGGTTCCTAAAAGGTTTTGGGGGGAGGCTGTTCTTACTGCATGTTATCTAATTAATAGACTACCTTCTAGTATTCTAGCCTCAAAAAGCCCTATGGAGGTTCTGTCCTCCTTTTATCCTAATGTTTCCACATCCAATCAACTTGTTCCAAGAATACTTGGGTGTGTGTCTTTTGTCCATGTCCACAGTGGTAATAGAGGTAAACTTGATCCTAGAGCCTTAAAATGTGTTTTCATAGGATACTCATCCACACAAAAGGGATATAAATGCTATCACCCACCATCACAAAAATTCTTCGTGTCCAGAGATGTCACCTTTTTTGAGCACAAAAGCTACTTCCACCAAGATCATCCATAGGGGGAGACTGCAAGAAAGGAAGATGATCTTCTTATGCTCCCCGACTTAAGCTTGGGACCAGAAATAGGGACTAAAAGTGTAACAACTGAGAAGGAACCCACTAAATCCATTCAAGATGGAGCTGATGTAAGATTTGGAAAAGGACTGGTTTATACAAGGAAGACAAAGGCCATTCTAGAATCTGTCCATGTCCAACAATCCAACCCAACATTACATGAGGTAACTACCCTTGATCCTTTAATCTTCACAAAATCAACCTCTGATTTCCCAACTTTATAGGAACCTGAAACCAATCCAGCACCACTTTATGAGGACTTAGATATTCCAATTGTCCTTAGGAAAGAAACCAAGAAATGTACCACCAAGCCACTGTACCCTCTAGCCAATTATCTATCCTTTAGAAACTTATCACCTACCCATAAAGCCTTCCTCACAAGCCTAAACACTACAACAACACCTACCTCTTTATCTGAGGCATTGAGTATAAAAAATGGAAACAAGCCATGCATGTGGAAATGAAAGCATTAGAGAAGAATAGTACGCTTAGGACGAAACCCTAGCGCACCCCTTGGCCGGAACAACAATATAAACTCCTATACTACCAAATATATGAGAAAGGGTGTCAAGATGTATCTACTTATCTAAATGTATCTACTTGTCAATGCTTCATCAATTAAGAAATACACAGTTAAATGTGTTTAGGATTTAGGGTTTAGGATTTATGTTGATATGTGATAATAGTCATAACATAGATAGAAAATAGATGGAATTGACCATGTACCATTGCATGTATTATTGTGTGTGAAACAATGGGTCTTGCATTGGATGACCCATCTATGTGTGCTCACGTTTATTTTCATATGTTGACCTATCTGTCCAGAACGGGCCGTTCCGAAATCAGAACGGCCCGTTCTGGTTCATTCGTCATGTGTTATTTTTTCGTCCAGAATGGCCCGTTCTGATTCATTCTTCATGTGTTATTATTTTATCGGGAACGGGTCGTTCTTATTTCAGAACGACCCGTTCTAAACCTGAATAACAGTTGCGTCATTACATTGGGACATGTGTTTTTTTGTAATTTTTTTTAAAAAAATAATTATTTTAATAAAAAATTCAGAAACTTTAATCTTGTGTGATAGGGTGTATGATACATTACTTGTATAAGTGGTCCATCCAAAAATTTACCTAACACTTAAGACTATTTTATAATTTTTAAAAATTTAAGTGACTTGACTTATTTAACCATTAAAATTATGCCACGTAGAAAAGGATCCAAAACCCACAAGGGTTCCGGAGAGTTTCTCAATTTTGGATGTGTAATGTATGGTTTGATATTTAATTTGGGATGCGGTGGCAAAGAGAGAATCATTGTCCCATAATTTGACGCCCACGCGCGGCAGCCTCGTGGATGCACAGTTGCAACCAACCCGCACTTGGCAGCCATATGATTGGAGCACGTGAAGCGCGTGGTACTTTTATCTTCATTGCATTATTATTATTCGGTGAGGTGGTCCCCACTCTATACTTAATACAACACTCTCCACAATCCATCCTCACCGTTCCTTTCTTTATTCATTTCATTCCTTTCCTTAAACCCAAACACACGTCTTTCAATATTATTATCCACGTAATAATAATTAAGTAAAATCTTATTTTAATTCCGGGGTCAAAACTTGTGCTTTCCATTATTAAAACACTTGTAAAATCACCATATTATTTATTCAATTTGATAGCTTTTCGTGGCGGGATTTGCGGTTTGCTACAAGGAAAGCTAATATCCAAACAATGCCAAAGCGATAAAGATAGAGCAGAGAGTGAACGCCCCCTTTTTTTAATTTTATTTTGATCAAAAAAGTAAATTTTATTCTAAAGTGGGTGAAAGTTTAGTTTTGTCTCCTAATAAAATAGAAGCTAGGGGCATCCTATGGTGTTTTTTCCCCTTAGAATCATAATATGCCATATCCACGTATTAGGATATCACCAAAATGTCTTGCTATCGTATTTTACTTTATTGTATATGTCGCTATGCCCTTTCATTTTAGTTGGGGTCCTATTACTAGTTACTAGAATGTTAAAACAACACACAATAAATCACACATGGATATGTAGCTTCATCTGTGACTTTTAGATCACCATGCTTTTCAGTGGAACATCTAACTTAATTTCCCGCCCAGTGCACAATATCCGTTTATAGCATACATATAAATCATGTCGTCTGCAACTATTTCTAGGAGCAAGTGAAATATATTTGATTTACCTTAAATTCAATATACGTAAATATTATTAAATAAAATAAGCGTCCACAACTTACTCTTAAACCTGAGAAAATGTAATCAAATTTGAATCCAACTATATAAATAGCATTGGCAGCATGATGATTTGGGAATCCAAAGCGTCACTGTTCTACATATAGTAAATAAGGGTAAATGGTTAAAAGTGTGGGGTGATGAAAAAAAAAGAAGAATGATTGGGCAATGAACAGAGGCAAAGTCATCTGAAATTGACTGTTAAAGTCAACACCAAAGTCATTTTCCTTGCCGTCCTGGCTTATAGACAACGTTACCATCCTTTAATTATGCTATGCACCCTCGTTTTTAAGTAACCATTCATTTTTTCTTTTCTTTTTGTCTTTTGCCCATCGCAAATCAATCTTCTACTTTCCCATTCACGCATTCCTTTCACAAACCATCCTCTTATCTCATTCAAATATCTTCTTTTGTTAGATTTTATTCAATTATTATAATATACAAAGATAGGTTAAAAAAGTGTAATAGCCAATGTATAACATTGTGTATGTATATATAAGATAGCATGTTTTCATATTTACATTAGCAATTCATTTAAATATTTAGTATTATCGGTGTCAAAGCAAGCTATCACTAGCTAAACGTATGCATAACCAACGAATAGGATAGGTAGAATAAACTAATCATTGACTGTCGTCCTTCAGTATTTCTTTCAATTTATGACATCGCATATTTTCTTCTTAATTACTTTCCGATAATCATCTCTCATCTTTAGTCATTAACAAATAAACATAAAAATACACTACACCAAAACTAGTTTTTTTGGCAATTAACTTATTATTTAACGGGCATATAAATGGCCATAATTTTTTTACCAGCATTTAATTAATGGCTGGTGTATCCAGTGTCGCTAATACTATTACCGGCATTTATATAAAATGCCGGTAAAGATCTACTAAATTGTCAGAAAAACTTATTTTTTTAGTGGCAATTCTAGTAGTCATTTTAAAGGCTATTAAAAGTTATTTTTTTCAATTGTCTCCTTTACTTTAAATAATTTATATATTCCTATAATTTCATTTTCTAAATTCATAACTTATATACTTTTTTATCTCTACTCGATATGAGATTTGTAAGATGAGAGTTGTCTTTTATTTATATATTTTTTAATTATGTTGTCTTTTAAGCGATGTGAGATTTATAAGGTCAAAGTTGGTCTCTAATTGTTTTATAGCACTATTGAAATTGGTAAGAATGAGTGATTTGATACCAATTTAGAATAGTGAATTAGGAGTTAATCCTATAAAATGAACCTGTAAGGTGATAGTTATTACTCACTTATATACTATTTAATTATCTTATCTCTAATCAATGTGGGTCTTAAGTTTTTTCTAAATAATTGTCGCTAATAGTAAACTTTAGTGTAATATAAATATATTTTTAGTGGCTATTATATATTAGCCATTAATATTTTTACATATGGTGGCAATTAAATTATTGCCATTAAATAATTGTCATTAAAAATAAATTTTGTTGTAGTGATATAGTGAGGATATATAAGAAAAAAATTAATTTATTTTTTTTAAAAGAAAATATACATATAAGTGGTAAATAAAAAATTGAATAGGAAAAAAAGGATAGAGTGAGAAGGAAAGTGGTTTATTGCTTCTGACATGCCCCCGAAGTTAACTTCAAAGGCTAATAAGTAACTGAGATTTGTACAGTCTAGCTACCACGAATTACCATTTATATATTTTGCACTCTCACTCCTTTCTTCCCTGCCAATCTGTTTTTCTTAGTTGCCTATGCATTCTAATCTTTTGTATATTGTTTTTTCCCTGGAAATTTAGAAGAAAAAATAAATCATTTCTCTTATACGGCAACACACGTTATTTACATTAATATACACTTTTCCGCGGTAAGAGTAAGAGAAAATCTTGAAACTATTTCATTTAATAATAAGATTAAAAATTTAGCAAAAAAAAAAACTAAAACAAAATATTTCATTCAATTAAAAAAAACGTTTAAAAGGGGAAAAATACTAGTATATATATTCAATTTTAGTTTATGCGTAGAAAAGAATAAAAAAATATAGGAGCAGAATGGAAGAAGGCATTCAAATTTTCCCTTTCAATTGTTTTGGTTTTGATACTGTCATACAAGCTAAGGGGAGAAAAAAATAAGAAGCAAATAGAGTAAATAAAATAAAAATAAAAATAGCAAGAGAAATTTCCTCCTATACAAACTCTCTGTGTCTGTCTGCGAAGTCCCTTTGGACCAAAAACCAAACTGTAAACAAAGCATACCAAGATCTCCAAATCAAGCTAAAGAAATGCACTTCCTGGAAGAAGAAGCACAAAAAAAATGACTAGAGCAAGATCTAATTAAAAACTCAACTCAAGTGTGCGATGATCTAGCACATGCATCCATGGAATTTTTCACAAGCACTCACACATGACAAATTCATTCAAGTTCCAATCTGCAAGAAAAAGAAAAGGAAAAAGAAAAGAAAAAAAAGGCAATAATTAAAAAAAGTGTATCTAGTTGCTGGTCCACAACTTAGAATGTAAGAATAGAATGAAAATATTTACAGACATGTGAAAACTAACCAATAAAAAAAGGTTCATTGGGAGCTATTAGGAGCATCCTCTCCACTCTCACTAGGTTGAGGTTGGTGGTGATGTTGATGATGATGTTGATGTGGATGCTCCATGTGATGATTATCAGAATTAATATTGAAACCAGCCCTAGTGTAAGCATTAAGGGCCGCCAACATGCCCAAGTTGGAGTCAGACATGGCGAGGCCCAGATGCTGAGAGGGCTGCGGCGGCATTAGCATGGAGCCCAATTGTAGAGAGCCCGCACGTGCGCCTTGGAATTCAAGCGCACCGGGAAGATTGAACCTTGGCATGAAACCTGACTGAGTAAAAGGCCACATCTGAGTCTCCGAAGATGCCGAAGCAGAAGCGGAAGAAGCAGCCGCACCAGAAGAAGAAGAGGCCGCCGCGGTCACTGGAAGCATCCAAATTGTGCTCCCCGCGGGCCCACTAGCGGGAGCGGGCGCCACGGCCCACATCGCGGTCGCCGGAAGTAAGCTCGCGGGCCGGTGAAGCCCAGGCCCAGCTTCGGTCTGCTGCTGCTTCGGTAATTGTAGGTTCGGAGTTTTCGGCGAAGACCCGTCCCCGCTCTCGTTCTGCGACTGGTTGTTGATGTTATCGTCTTTGAACAGATCTTCTCGGTAACGTTTCCGGAGGTAGCTCTCGCCGGAGTCACCGCCGCTGGGGAGAGCTTCGGCGATTTGATCGGCGGAGAGAAGTTGCTGCTGCGGATGTTGATGTTGATGTTGATGTTGATGTTGGTGTGGGTGTGGGTGTTGCTGCGGGTGCTGGTGCTGGTGCTGGTGGTGGTGGTGGTGAGGGTGAAACCCTAGCAGCGCCGTGTGTTGTTGAAAGGCTTCTTCGTATGGGTGGTGAGCGAGTGCGAGGGCGCCGTGGAAGGTGTGCGGTGCTGACTTGGAGGGCGGCGCCGAGAGCGTGGAGCCGCTGCTGCGGAGGGAGACGGTGAGCGAGGAGAAGTTGGCGGGGATGGTGCCGGTGCCGGTGGCGGCGCCGATCGCGGGCTCGGCCTGCTGGAGGAGCCACTCGATGGTCTCGCCGTCGGATTTGTGGCCCAATTCACGAGTGAGTTGGAAAACCCTAGCGGCGCAGGTGGCGGGCATTCGAATTCTGCGGCCGCGGCCCTCGACCTTGGTGTGGCGGTCCTTGGTGGATCGCTTGGGCGCGGCGGTGGTGGAAAGATGTTGGGTTGTCTTCTTGGCGGAATCGTCAGATCTGGTTGCGATGGCTAGGGAGGCGTCGATGGAGGAAGACGATGAAGAGGAATTGGAGGAGGAAGAGGTGGAGGAGGTGATGAAGGGAGAAGAAGTGTTTGGTCTTCCATCGAAAGGGACCACAAGGTGTGAAGTAGAAGAAGAAGAAGAAGAAGATTGTTGGTGATGGTGGGGATGGGGATGGGGATGCGGATGAGGATGAGGATGAGGTTGAGGATGAGGATGAGTGCTCCCACCTGTGTTGCTGCTGCTCTGCTTGTTGTTTTGCAAATCTGATAGTTCCATTAGGTGGGGAAGCCTCACACAAGGTTTTTTATTTATTTATTTCTTTCTTTCTTTCGGACTAGGAATGAGATGCTCCTGATGATGATTCATCAACCCACCCTTTGCCCTTCCTCCATTCTCTCTTTCTTTTTTGATTTTTAGAGAGAGAGTGTGTGTTTTCAAATTTCTAGACTCTTTGGACCCAACTAAGACTCTCAGTTTGTGGGGTTCTCGGGTTTTGATTGACTGTTGTCTTGCTCTGTGCTCAGAGCGGAACAGACAGAGAAAGAGAGAGAGAGAGAGGGAAGGGTAAGTAAGTAAGTAGGTTACACCTTACAACTGAAGAGAGAGAGTGTGTGTGTGTGTGTGGGGGACCTTACTTTGGGAAAACCCAAAAAAAAAACAAGAGAGAGAGAAGAGAAGAGAACAGAAGGCCACTCGTGGGGTCTCGTAAAAGGAATGCTAAAAATTGGCCTTTGTTACTCGCATACATAGATGCCTGCAAAATTGTAGCAGCTATATGTGAGTGTGTGGGGGTAAGGGTATCCACTTAATTCAAAGCTCAAAGTCAAGGGGAGCTTCTTCTTATTTGTAATTTTCGGAGAAGAAAACCCAAAAATAATTTGAACCCCATCCGTGAGTGTTTGAGTAAAAAAATGAAGAGAGATTGGGTGTATGTGTATGTGAATAGAAAATAATAATTGGGAGTGGGTGGGTGAGATGGTTAAAGTGAAGAAGGGGCCGGGGGTATACACATAACAGGTTACGTTACATAAGATTAGATTAGAGAGTGTATAGACAGCACAGTTCAGAATCAGATAAAGGCATCTAATGCAGCACGACAGCTCATCCCTATTGTGTGCGTTTGTTTCTTTCTTTCTTTTCAAATTTTTTTATTTTTTATTTTTTATTTTATTTTTCTCATGCTCAAATTTAGTTGGGCACTCCAGCTTTCCATTAGTGGATTCACAAAGACACAATTGCCCCACCCCCATCCAATGCAAATTTCAAATTTTCTATACACACCCAAATCCTATGCAAACAAAAAAACCGCTGTCTTTCACAATTCAACCTATTTTTTGCTGTCTAAAAAAGTGGGGGAAATCTTTGCCAGTAAGGTAATGGGTTACAGTGACGCCATTTAAAGAAACAAATTATCTCATTTTAAATTAACAACTCAGAAAAAGGTCAGTTTTCACTTCTATAATCTAAACCAGCTAATATGGCTTCAATATTTTACTCATTCAACACTCCACTTCTCATTAGTTAGTTTACAATTATTGTTCATAACATCATTTTTGAGGTTAAGAAATGTTGGGGTATGGAATCTCTTTTAGGAAGATGTACCAACTGTTTCGGTTTAGAATATTTGTAAATGTAAAAATTAATCTTTTTTTTTTTTTCTTTCAAGAGTTCCTGTATATATACTAGAGCAATATTATGAATGTTAATTATATATTTTTTATCTTTCAAGTAATCATATTATATCATTAAAGTCATTAATAAACCTATAAATTTTTATATTTATGGTTGTTATCATACTTAGTTCATAAATTATGACGTCTTGTTTCAACTATTCGTGATAGAAACAATATGAAAATCAATTAAGTTTTTTTATGAGACATATTTGACAAGTCGATTGACCATTAATCGAAATACCTACTCTGTTCATTTTGTCAACAAGAGATCGATACATATACAATACACAAACCTTATAACTTAAGTTTTAAAGGCTTGAAGTGTTAAACTGGTCAAGCTATTTGGTCGCCAGGGGCCCAATACAATACACAGCTCTTTAGGCTTGAGCATGAAAGTGTGAAGAGCCCGTGTGCTTGATTCACTCCATTGGCGGGAGATCGATATGGTACACTTCAAGCTCGAGTCTTAGAAACCCAATGAGTTTTAATGGTCAATGGACTAGTGTCATGTTATCTTGTCTTTTAACTTTTAATAGTTTTGGCTTGTTATTTGTCATTGCATTTTGTTACTTGTGCATTTTGGTTGATTGAAGTGTTTGTGGTTGCTTAGTCGTATACCAATTTAAATATTTTCAATCGATTATTATTTGATTTTGTAGACTATCATACATGCTTGGTTACTAGCAAATTTGTTATTTACTAAGCGTGTGTCTATCAGCTCGATCATGTTTATTGAATATAAATTAATAATAGGGAGTTAGAATCGATAATCAACTAGCTTCAAAATTTATGGATTCGGTAGAGTTGAATTTTTGCCATATGTTTTACTTGATGGTTATTGAATATAAATTACTAATATATCGAATTCTAAATTTATGGAGTCGAAGTGGTTAGAGTTGAGTTTCGCCATGTGTTTTAATTGACATTTATTGTAACATGTTTTAGAAAATGTTTTTAACTAAGGGTTGATCTTCGAACAAGTGTTTCATTTGTGTGTGAGTCGAGGTTTAAACAAGTGTAATATCTTTTAATATCGGTATCACTTAAGAGTCAAGAATTGTGTGATTTGACCATTTTGTGTTTCATATAGGACTTAGTGAATGATCGATAATGTGTCGAGTTTGATTTATCAGTCGCTTGGTGTTTTATTGAGTTGTCTTTAAAAGGTTATCGGTTGTATTCTTTAAATAGTTTCTAATGGTTTCGTATTATGATTGTTTTGTTTTGATTTATTATGATTGATTTTTCTTGTAGTTGTTGACCTTATAACATTTTTTTACGTTAAAATTTGTTTCTTTTTATCGTCGACTTTAAAACGTTTTTTATGCCAAAATATTTTCTTTTTGTTGTCAATCTTAAATTATGATTTTTTCTTCTCGTTGCCGAAAATGTTCTTCACATCGAAGATTTTTCTTCTTATCGTCGACCTTAAAATATCAAAGGTTTTATTTTCTTGTCACCAATCTTAAAACACCCTTTTACATCAAGGATTTTTTTTTTCTTGTCACTGACCTTAATACACTTTTCATGTCAATAATTTTTCTTTTTATTGTCAATCTCAAAACACTCTTAATGTCAATAATTTTTCTTTTTGTCATCAACTTTAAAATATTTTTTACATTAAATTTTTTTTCTCGTAGTCGTTGATGTTAAAACACTTTTCAAACTAAATTTTTTTATCATTGTTATAATTTAAATAAATGATATAATACTGATAATATTAAATATAATGATTAGAAAATGAAAAGAGTAATTCACTTATAAATTTTAACAAAATCATATAATTTTACTTTGAAACAAGATAATAACACATTATCAAAATTGTACCACATTATGCATATCTCTTTTTTCTAGTGATGATTTTTTTTAACTGATGCAATCATTGTATTATATGTATAAAAAGAATAACTAAAATTTTGAGATCAAATATATATTCTTTCCATTTTTAATGCCGCACACATATAGTTATGATCCATATTGATTTTAATGTAGCATAAAAACATAATAGTATCAGTGATATCATATATTTGTTTCTTTAATAATCAAGGAAAAATAACTACATATCATCAATCATGATTAATTAACAACATTTTAAACAATTTCTAAACTGATAACTATAATTATGGTGCAATAAAAAAGGTAATATTATATCTTCGATCATTATTCATTTATTATTAATTAGCAACATATAAAACAATTCCTAAACCGATGACATAATTACGGTGTTATAAAAAAATGTAATAGATAAATATTTAAAAAATAACGAAAAATAAAACAAAACATTAGTAACTAGTTGTCTTTCTCGAGGGTTAATTGCTCGGAATAGTACACGTGAAATTAAAAAGAAAATATTTATTATTATTATACGAATGCATATTATTTGAAAGTACGAGAAAATATTTACTATAGAAAAAGAAAGTTACACTACTCTTTTTTTTATAAACAGATCTTTAGTAATCTCGGTGAACCAACATTTTTTTTATGTACCATCGATGAACAAGAGTCGTTTGTCTAAAACACATTTTTATTGGTCAAGAATTTTATCTCAAGTCATATATTTCAAGTTTAGCAATTAATGAAGTTGTTATTGAATTAATTCATGAAATTAAATAGTAAAAAAAGAAGATAATTAAATCAAATACACTAAACTTCTCTTGGCTGTTCCAAAAAAAACACTAAACTTCAACTTTGGTGTTGATAACATGAACTATTTTATTTCATTTTTTAAAAGAAAAAAAAAGGTTCTTAATATTTTTTTTTTCAAGAACAGATCCTAGAGTATAATTGCATGGACAGGTCTAGTATAGTATTAATAATACATTAAAAAGTTATCGCAAAATGATGATCTGTATTGGCAATAAAAATTACAAGCAGATGAATGATTAGTATATCTAACAATTATTAAAATTGATAAGTAAAAGGTTCATAAAATAAAATATGATAAGAAGATAAGAGAGCAATTTCGATTATTTAGCTATTTTTTTAATGTTTAAAAACTTTCACCGACTTTAACGTAATAAATGATTGTCAAAGTGATTGTATGAATTTACTATTTCATTTCTAATTTGTATTTAATGTAAACTCATCTTCAAATAAGAAAGAGGGGCATTGAGAAGAGTTTTATTGGACTCACAATGGGTACCAAAATGTTTTGGTATGAAATTTCTTATAAGAAGACCTAATGGCTATGCCAGCTTGAAACATTTAGTAAGTGTAAAAATTGATATTTTTTTAGATTTAGGAGTTAGGAGTCCCTATATATACATTGAAATGATATATGGATGTAAATCTTATATTTTTTTTCATGATTCTACCAATTATAGTATATTATTATTATTAATAGACTTATAAATCTTAATATTTATTATCGTGCTTATTTTATAAATTATGACGTATTATCTCAATTACTCGTGGAGAGAATGATTTAAAAATTCATCAATTTTTTTTATAAGATATATTTAACAAGTCAGTTGATCATCAATTAAAAAACATGATCAATTCACTCAATAAACAAGACATCATGAGAAAATTACAAATGATTCATTTTCATGCACATATAAAAATATATTTTTATAGTTGCCTCGAATTAAATAAATATGGATATATACATAATTAAAAAAAATCTCACTAGAAGATATTAGAAATTATTTGTTATGTAAGGATTTAGAATTTTTTTGCGATCAATATATAGAATTAACACGGTTTATTGTGTTACATCATTACAAATATTAACTTTTATCTGTTGTACCTTCAATTTTATTTCTATAATGGATCACTTGTTTTAAAAAAGTGTTTCTTAATAAAAGAAATATTTTTCTATTTTCTTAAATATGTTTGTCTAAACTGCTTATTTTAAAAATAAACAGTTTTTTTTTTATATTTTGTTTCTAAAAAGTAATTTTTTAAATATATTTTTTTATAATCATTTTTTAAGTTTGAATTAACTGACTCAAAATATTGTATCGTATCGTAAACTAAAATACTACAGTAAAATTGGTGAATACGAATAATATATGATTGAAGTTCTCTTGAATGTTGGCTTGAAAGGCAAATCATCTATTTTCTCCCTCTACTCTTTTCCTTAAATTTAAAATTTTACAAATGTCTCGTGGAATTAAATCATATGCTTTTGACATGTATATATACATATTCCTTCTCAGATGAACTAGAGAAAAACTTGTCAAGTTTTACATTCTTTCGATCCCATCTAAATTAAAGTTTATCGTACGCCCATGTCATATTCAATAACTAAAAGTAGAAGGTTTATAACAAAATTGCCTTAGCCTACGATATATAGACCAAACA